GTGTTTAAGGTGCTGTGCTATCAATTCTTTAAAAAATATTTTTTCTTTATTGATTTAGAGAGAGAGGAAAGGAGAGGGAGAGAGAGAGATAGAAACATCGATGAGAGAGAACATCAATTGGCCGCCTCCTGCACCCCTCACTGGGGATGGGGCCCACAACCTGGGCATGTGCCTTGACCGGGAATCTAACTGGTGACCTCTTGGTGCATGGGTTGACACTCAACCACTGAGCCACACCAGCCGGGCTGTGCTACAAATTTTATTGTCTTTTTTCAATGTTTGTATTATGTTTGTAAATCTAGTTTATTACTTCTTTTTTTTTTTTTTTTCACCCTCACCCGAGGACATTTTTCCATTTTTTGTTCAGATAGAGTGGGAGGGAGAGAGAGGAAGAGAGAGAGAGAGAAACATCGATGTGAAGGGACACATCGAGTGGCTGCCACCAGCACGACCAACCAGGGCCGGGGACAAACTGCAACCGAGGTACATGCCCTTAGCGGGAACCGAACCCGGGTCTCTCCGTACCGCAGGCCGACGCTCCAACCGCTGAGCCAAACCGGCCAGGGCTAGTTTATTACTTCTGATGGTGGAGTGTTCCATCCCTGCCCCTCACTGCACCCCAGTGTGTGTGTGTGTGTGTGTGTGTGTGCACACGCACGCGCGCGTGCACACAGGAGCATGTGGGTGATATTTGTTTCCTGTCTGTGAGCACTAAAATGTATGTGTCATGAGAGCAGGGACTTTGTCTCAGTCACAGCTATGGCCCCAGCAATGAACAGTGCCAGCCTTCAACAGGCTTTTAATAAATATTTGTTGAATAAATGAGTGTGCATCTACCACATTTTGTCTTTTCTCTGGGGAGAGGTCGCTGCTCCCTGCTGCCACTGACTCCAGCAGCAGAATTTCTGGGTTGGGAGGTGGTCATATTTCATTAATATTCATACTCATATTAATATATAATTAGTTATATTGATATTTCACGCCCTCCTCTCTTTCCTTCCCTCTCTCCTTCCTTCCTTCCTTCCTTCCTTCCTTCCTTCCTTCCTTCCTTCCTTCCTTCCTTCCTTCCTTTCTTCCTTTCCTCTCTCTCTCTTCCTTTTTTTCTTTTTTTATATATATTACATTCAAAGCTTTCTCAGTCTGGCCCTGGCCGGTTTGGTTCAGCAGTTACAGCGTCAACCCACAGACCAAAGAGTCTCAGGTTCGATTATGGTCAAGGTCACGTACCTCGGTTGCAGTTTGTCCCCAGCCCTGGTTGAGGCCATGCGGGAGGCAACCAGTCAATGGGTCTCTCTCTCGCATTGATGTTTCTGTCTCTCTCCCTCTCCCTCCCTCCCACTCTATCTGAAAATCAATGGAAAAATATCTTCTGGTGAGGATAAAAAAAAAAGCTTTCTCAGTCTGAACGCTCACAGCTGCTGAACAGAAGGATATTTGTATACCTCCGTTGGCTATAGATGAGATCTTTCTGAAAGACGCTCCTGTTGAGATGCTGATATCCAGGAACTGAGGTCATATAATTTTTATTTATTTTGATTCAGCAGGCACTATTGGGGTCCCTGCTCAGTGAAAACGTCTGTGACAGGTGGGAAGGGGAGGGGACTCGAGGAGCAGGCCCTGTCCTCAGAGCAGGGGAGGGGCACACAGGAGGAACATGCCACGTGAGGGAGGGTGCGGCGGCCGGCGCAGTGTGTGCCTACCAGTCTGCTTAGAAACCGCTGGGGGCAGTTTCAGAGGAACCAGATATTTATAGTCCCACAGCATCTCCCCACAGATGAACATTAACATCATGTGCCTCCTGCATGACTCACTAAGGAGATATCACTTATGTAACGTTTCTGCCCAAAGTGCATAATCTGAACTGGTCATGAGGAACAAATCAGACGGGCCCAGCTGAGGGGCATCCTACAGACTGCGTGATCCGGCCCGAAACAGGCTGAGCACTATCCCAGCTGAAGCAGCCTGTGACCCAGGGTGGGAGCCCAGAGCAGGGGGAGTAATTGCTCTAAAGGATGTTATCCGGCCAGTCGGTGATTTGGATTAGTGATTAGTACAACATATTTGGTCATATGTTGTACTAATGTTAAATTTCCTGAATATGACAATTGCATTGTGGTTAAGAGAATGTTATTAGAAGTTAAGGGCAAAACTCTGCAACTTAATTCTTAAATGGTTTAGCAAAGCAACAATAATGCAGCATGTACGTAGAGAGAGAAAAAGGTAGCAAATGTGACAAAATATTAACAGTCTGTGGACCTGAAGGATGTACAGAATTCATTGTTATTTTCTTGCAACTTCTCTGTTAGTCTAAAGTTTGTTTAAAATAAAAAGTTTAAAAATGTGTTCTTGTGTTAAAGTCAGAGGTAGGGGCAGCATAAGAAAAATAACTCTCGGCAGATACGATGCTTGCGATGTGACAGGCATTTTATAGCTCTTAAGTAATTTAATCATCTCAGCCTCCAGATCAGGGTCATATTATTATTATCATCCCCACGGTGCAGGTGAAGAAACCAGGGCCCAGGGAGGGGAATTGTATTGACTCCCCCAAGACCGCAGCGCCAGCATGTTGCAGCGCTGGGATGTGAACCTGGGACCGTGGACTCCGAGAGCCACACCCTTCACTGCTGCTGTGTGGGGGTTAAAGCCAGGAGGCAGGGGTCAAATTCCCGGTTCACCTGGTTCTGTCAGGGCGACCATGGCCAAGCTACCAGCCTCAGTTGCCTTAAGGGTTTTTTACAAATGAGGGTTATAACAGCACTTACCTTATAGGGTTGTTTTGAGGTTAAGTGAGAAAGATTATGGTAAGGGCTCAAAGCAGTGCTTGGTGCATAATTAACATATTTTCATGCAGAACCTTCTGGAACCTGGGGCCAGAAGGTGGTTGTGCTTAAATTCCACTACCTAGAATTAGTGGGTGGCTGAGAGCAGTTAACCGGGTATTAATGACTGCAGAAGTGAAGCAGTTTTAGACAGAGGTTGTCACTGCAAAGCCCACCTAGAGCAAGATGGGCAGTCCTTTCATGGGAAGACTAGAAACCAGGACGGAACATTCCAGAATTCTTCTGACCTCCTTCAACTCCCAGGTCTTTCCTGGATTGTGCAGTAAATATTCATCTCCAGAACCACCACCTACATGGAATCCCAAAGGGAGGCAATTACCCAATAAGCACCATAGACAGGACATTCACTGTGGGGCCTGTGTACACTGACACAGCCCCTTGGTCAGAGTGCTCGGCTGTGCGTCTCTCTATGTCCACGTGGTTGTCATCTGCACACCACCAGGGTTCTTTTGTCCGAAACCCCACAGGCACACATGTAGTGGCACGGCACCCGGCCGGCCAGCTAAACCACTTGCTGCTCGGAGAAGCTCTTCTGTTGGGAACGACAGTCCCTACGAGTCCCTGTGACAACCACCCAGAGAACAGGAACTCTGCTATCTAAAGGCAGACAGGGCTGACGGACTATCTGTGACCACAGCTGTTCCTGCAGCGAGAGACGAAGCTGAACGGGGACGTTATGTGTGTGAGGGAGAGACGGAATAAGCAACCAGAAGTGAAAGCTCAAAGTTGGTGAAAGTGATGACCAACCCTAGTGGCTGGAGAGTTAGGTCAAGGGGTCCACAGAAAGGGAAAGCGTTGGAAACACTAAAAACAGCTCTTACATCAACAAAACTAGTCCAAACACGGCTAAGATCAGGTCAGAGCAAAGTGAACCCAGGAATCTGGGTTTGTTTGTTTTTTAATTTATTTATTTTTGTTACAGATATTTTTCCTTTTTCCCCCATTGACACCTTCCTTCTGTTCCCCCCACCCCCGCTCAGTATTGTTGTCTAGGTCCATTGGTTATGCTTATATGCATAAATTCTTTGGTTTATCTCTTCCCTCCTCCCCCCTCGCCCCCCCTCCCTCTGGAGTCTGTCAGTCTGAACCCTACTTCTATGTCTCTGGGTCTATTTTGTTCATCACTTTGTTTTGTTCATTATATTCCACAAATAAGTTAAATCATGTGATAGTTGTCTTTCTCAGACTGGCTTATTCTGCTTAGGATAATACTCTCCAGGTCCCTCCATGTCCTCTCAAAGAATAAGAGATCTTTCTTTCTTACAGCTGCATAGTACTCCATTGTGTATATGTACCACAGCTTTTTTATCCACTCATCTATTGATGGACACTTGGGCTATTTCCAGATATTAGCACTTGTAAATAGTGCTGCTGTGAATAGGGGTGCATATATTCTTTCTGGCTGTTGTTTCAGGCTTCTTAGAATATATTCCTAGCCCTGGCCGGTTTGGCTCAGCAGTTAGAGCGTTGGCCTGCGGTCCCAAGAGACCTGGGTTCAGTTCCCGCTAAGGGCATGTACCTCGGTTGCAGTTTGTCCCCGGCCCTGGTTGGGTCCTGCGAGTGGCAGCCACTTGATCTGTCCCTTTCACATCGATGTTTCTCTATTTCTCTTCCTCTCGCTCCCTCCCACTCTATTTGAACAAAAAAATGAAAAAATGTCCTCGGGTGAGGATAAAAAAAAATATAGGAATATATTTCATAAGTGGGATCACTGGGTCAAATGTCAGTTTCATTTTTAATTTTGTGAGAAAACACCATACACATTACTTCAATTTTTTTTTGTAGAGTATATTTTTTAAGTTTCAATGAAATAATTTAAGTATTAAAACAGATGGAATTTGAAGTATACTTTTCTTCAAGAGCTGCAGAACACAGCAAAAAATCATCTTTGTTGTGATGCAGTTTGTTCTTGACGGTGTCTTTTTGTCGTATAGTGTTTACAGTGTAAGTGGGAAAATTATTAGAACTCTTCGCTAACGTTAATATTTTTTTATTTGTATTTATTAATTTGTTTTTGTTACAGATGTTTCTCATTTTTCCCCCATCGACACCCTCCTCCCCTTCCCCCCGCCCCACCCCCAGCTGACAAGCCTCAGAGAAGGGGGGTTGGGGGGAGAGATAAACCACAGAACTTACATGCATATATGCATGACCAGTGAACATAGGCAACAAACCTGGGCCTTTTTGAAGCAACCGACTTCGCTAACCAGGACTGTACCTGTTTCTTCTCAGAGCGGGGAGGGCTGGGGAGCTCCTCGCAAGTGAGTGTGGGGGCGACCTGCGCAGGCGTGGTCCATGGGGTGGGTGTGGTGGGTGGTGGGGCGAGGTCGACGGGGTGGGGCGTGGTGGACGAGGTGGGTGTGGTGGTGGGGCGTGGTCAACGAGGTGAGTGTGGTGGTGGGCGTGGTTAACGGGGTGGGGCGTGGTCGAGCGGCTAGAACGCGGTAGGAGGGGTGGGCTTGGCTGGAGGGGCAGGGCGAGGCTCAGGTACCCTACGGAGGAGACCAAACCGAAAGGGAGGCTTCGGGTAATGAAAACCTGGGGTCATTTTAGCATGGGTTTAAATGATCTTTAGGTGGCTGCCAGTGACATAGGAAATGCCCTCTGTGACTTGATATAACACTATTTTGTTGAATTCTAACATGATGGCTTAGCTGCCCTTTGCCTCCATATTGCCCATGAACTGTGACCTCAGCTGAGTCTGGAGTCTTCACATTGTCAAGGTCGTGTAAACAGCCCCGAGCAGGAGGAGCCACAGGTGCCACTTCCTCCTGAAGGTGTGTTGACTCTTTGTGTTAAATGCACCGTCACAGCCCTGGTGCCGTAGGACGGCTTGTGTTCATAAAGAGTGTTTTGTCGAGGAGGTTGAGTGCCCTAGAAGGAAGTTGCTCAATTTAAGTAGAAACCAAACCCTAGCTTTGGTTTCCTCTGGAAATTCTGCACTAACTGCTTCGCTATAAGTAGTGAACATGGGCCCAACCCAGGCCTCAGTTGGACCCGCCAAAGCCAGTGCGGACAGACACCAAACTGCCATCTGCCATCCTGGTACTCGGAGAGTTTGCCTTTGAAGGACCCACCCAGTCAAGGGTTCTGGATATTTCTCTGAGTCTCCTGTGGGTGGAAGGGAAGGAAGGGGAGGAGGGAAGATGAGGGCTTGGCTCAGGACAGCTTCACTTTCATCTCTGGCCCATTAACAGGCCCCCATTTGAAAGGGACCATTGTTGATAAAAAGAGTTAACACCCAGATTGGTCTTTGCCATCTCACTGATGACACATGAAAATCCAGGGAGGTTGTGACTGGCCCAGGATGTGCGTTCCTGTCCAGGACCCACCACCCAGGGACACTGCAGACTGCAGAGCAACAGGTGCTGCTGACAAGCCCCCGTCCCCCGCAGATGGGCACATTGACAACAGATCAATCACTCGGTCGTCTCTTGACTCTGAGAGGCAGAGAGGGTTTAATTCATGTTGAATCTCACACAAAGAGCTTATGCTACACTTTAAGAGACATGACACATGTTCAAAACGTAAATAGCAGAGCAAACCCAGGAGGGTGGAGGGTGCGAGTCAGTGCCGTGGAATCAGAGGAGGGAGAGAGTGCTTCAAGGAACCTGGGTGGGAAGGCTTCCTGGAGGAGGTGAGCCCGATGCTGAGCCTTGGAGGACACATTCCAGCCACACAAGTCGGGGGGCAGTCTGGGGATCCCACGAGAACTGTGTCAGCAGCAGAAATGGAGGGCTGTGTGAGGACATAAGGGGGAACCCTGGTGTGGGGGTGTGTTCACAATGGGGGAGATGCCTGGCCCCCCAGCTTGCCCAGCTTCACCCTGTCACCTGACTGATCTGCAAGTCCCAGTAAGGCAGGATCCCGCTGACCCCCAGAGCTGGGTCCTCGGATCAGACTTTGCTTGTCCTGCCCCCACCGGCCTTATCACTGCTCACTGGCCTGGATATGGAGTCCCAACCTTCCAATGGCCACCAGCATTGTCTTGCTAAGAAGCCAGTGTTACCACGTCTTCACTCCACTAAGACCCAGGCACCCCACTGTCTGTAGGGTACGTCCACGCTCTGCCCAAGAATGGCCCCCATTTGCCGTTGCTGGATCATCCCCCGTTACTGACCCTCATCCTCTAAGGCTGAAATCAGGGTTCAGGAAGGGCAGCCCTGGGCCGAGCAGGCTGCAGTGATCACAACGATGGAGGTTTCACGTACTTAAAAAACCTGCTTTGATGTTAAAACCCAAAAATAACAAAGTAAGTCAGGAAGAAAAAAAAAAGTTTAACAATAATCCCATGACGTCAATACAATCAATTAAATTATTTTTTAATTTCCCTTCCAGTCTGTTCCCTTTTGTCTTGTGATGGTCAATTTTATGTGTCAACTTGACCAGCTAAGAGATGAACAGATAGTGGTGAAACATTCTTGGGGTGTGTCTGTGAGGGTGTTTCAGAAAGAGGTCAGCATTTACATCAGCATAATGACTAGACTGCCCATCCACCGAGGGCCTGAATAGAACAAGAAGGCCCAGGAAGGGCAAATTCTCTCTCTGTTCTCAAGCTGGGATGTCCACCTTCTCCCTGTGGCCATCAGCCTCCTGGTCTTCAGGCTCCCGGTTGGGACGAGAGCTTTCCTGGGCCCGCAGCCTGTCAGGAGCGGCTGTGGGCTTCTCCACATCGCACAGGCCAGTTCCTCATCACAAACCTCCTTCTCAAATCACCTTAAACTTGTTGTACACCTTAAAGCGACAGTGTTATGTGTAAACCATATCTCCTTCCACACATCTATATAGGTCCTCCTGGACCTGTTGCTCTGGAGGACCCTGAGTTACAATACATGTCTGTAGACGCAAATAGGTTTCTTTATATATGATGTAGAAATGGAAAATCTAAATTGTTGAGAAGATATCTTTGCATTGCTTCCCAGGATTCCGCACACAATGGACGATTAATAAGGAAACTCAGGCAGACTGTCGGGCCGACTGTCGGGCCGACTGTCGGGCCGACTGTCGGGCCGACTGTCGGGCGGACTGAGGAAGCTTCTGAAAGGCAGCGTCACCACCTCAGCAGCAGCCTGTCGAGAAGGAGGCTGCTGACCACGTCTCCCGCCACGGTTCCCACCTGAACACACTTCCCGCCCTTCCCTGCACCTCTCACCCTGCCCGGAGCTACTGGCGGAGCGTGCGGGCTGCCTGCTGCCTGCCGCCGGGGCTTGCTGGCCTGTGGCCTGTGGCCCCCGCCTGGGACCCGGCCGTGCAGCTTGTACTGACAGTGCATGCTGCGCCCACGAGCAAACATTGTCCAGCTGTCTTGGGAACAGCCAGCAGTTGTGATTGTGTCACAGCCTTTGCTCAGTTCCTGTGGAGAACGGCCTGTTAGGTAATGACCCATCCCGGAGGGAAAACACGCCCCTCAAACGGCCGAAGTGAACTATTGCCACATCCCGCCAAGCCCACAAACAGCTCTTCTCTGCAGAACAAGCTCAACTAACTAGAAAGAGTCTAAAATGCCTTTTGTAGCTTTTGAAGCAATGGAGACTGTGGCCTCAGGGACACACCGAGATGGTGAAGCGTGAGCAGAGCTCCAGTGGACGGTCGGGCTGGGGAGCGGGTTGGGGAGCAGGCTGGGCACCTTCTGGAGGCAGCCCCTTCCCACACAGCCTTTCTTGTGCCAGGAGGGTGGGCTTCGGAAGGCGACAGTGTCAGGGACGGTCTCCGAGGAAGGCAGTGCTGGGGTGGGGCTCAACGCCACATGAACTGAGGGGGAGTCGTCTCGAACCCTGAGACCTGAAGAACCAAGTTAACCTGTGACAGGTTGGACCTCTTCAGCCTCCTCATAAACTCACAAACCAGGGGAGGCAAGAAAGTCAGATCCCTTACACACCGTCACTGTTACAGGGTGTGCACACACACAAGAACGAGAGTCCGATCCCTTACACACCGTCACTGTTACAGGGTGTGCACACACACGCACACACACATGCACACACACAAGAAAGAAAGTCAGATCCCTTACACACCATCACTGTTACAGGGTGCACACACACACGCACACACACAAAAAAGAAAGTCAGATCCCTTACACACCATCACTGTTACAGGGTGTGCACACACACAAGAACGAGAGTCCGATCCCTTACACACCGTCACAGTTACAGGGTGTGCACACACACACACACACAAGAACGAGAGTCCGATCCCTTACACACCGTCACTGTTACAGGGTGTGCACACACACGCACACACACATGCACACACACAAGAAAGAAAGTCAGATCCCTTACACACCATCACTGTTACAGGGTGCACACACACACGCACACACACAAGAAAGAAAGTCAGATCCCTTACACACCATCACTGTTACAGGGTGTACACACACACAAGAACAAGAGTCAGATCTCTTACACACCATCACTGTTACAGGGTGCACACACGTACACACACATACACACAAAAAGAGAGTCAGATCACTTGCACACCATCACTGTTACAGGGTGCACACACACACACACACACAAGAAAGAGTCAGATCTCTTACACACCAGTGCTTTTACAGGGTGTACGCGCATGTGCACGCACACCACACACACACTGTGCTAGGCTCAGTTGTGTCCCCTTAATATTCATATGTTGAAGTCCTAACCCCCAACACCTCAAAATGTGACTGTATTTGCAGAAAAGGCCTTTAAAGAGTTGATTATGGTGAAATAAAAGCCTTATGGGTGGACCCTAATCCACTAGGACTGGGGTCCTTATACGAAGAAGAGATTGGGACACAGACAGGCACAGAGGGGAGAGCAGGGGAGGACACAGGGAGAAGACGGACGTCTACACGTCAAAGAGAGAGACGGCAGAAGCAGCCAGTGCTATGGACACCTTGATCTCAGACTTGCAGCCTCTGAACTGTGAGAAAATTAATCCCTGTTGTTTAAGCCACCCCATCTGCGGTGCTTTGTTCTGGCAGCTCGAGCTGACAAATTACACCCACTCACATTCACACGCTTACATATTGTCACACTCACACCCACAAAATACTCTCACTCATCCTCTCACACACCCACACATCACCCACACACTCACTCCCCTCACGCACTTACACAGCGTCTTGAGCCCAGAGCTTTGGGCTGCAGCGGCTCCGGCCCACCGAGGCCTATCTCTTCCTCAGACGGGCCTGCGCTCTCTGTCAAGTTTGTTCCCCTCGCTGGACCCTTCGGTCCTCCTGGCCTTTGCCTGGAGTCTGGCTTCTTGCCTCCTGACTGCCTGGGGGCCTGGCACTTTGTTCTCCTGTCTGCCGACCTGGGCCTGGACCAGGCTGGGGGGCCTACACTGCTGACCATGGGCAAGGAGCAAGCACTCTGACCTCAGGCTTCTGCTCTCTAAAACCCACAGCTGAAGCTAGCACAGCAGTTCTAAGTGTGGTCCCAGACCAGCAGCATCTGGGTCACCTGAAACCTGTTAGAAACACACATTCTCAGACCCATGAAATCAGAGCCTCTGGGGGGCGGAGCCCAGAAACCTTCCTCTGAATATGCCCTTTGGATAGCTCTGATGCAGACGACAGTTGGAGAGCCACTGACCTGGACCATGTCTGAAATTCCTCCCAGATATGCTGTAAGCAGTCTGTGCGAAATTATGATGCATATTATCTATAAAATGCCTTCCACGTGCCTGGCCCTTTCCCAACATTATCTCTACAACAACTCTTTAAAGCAGATATCATTAAAAGTATTTTCCAGCCCTGGCTGGTTTGGCTCAGCGGTTAGAACATCAGCCTGTGGATCAGACTCCCGGGTTCAGTTCCCGCTAAGTGCATGTACTTCGGATGCAGTTTGTCCCCGGCCCCGGATCGGGGTGTGCGGGTGGCAGCCAGTCGATGTGTCTCTCTCACATGGATGTTTTTCTCTCTCTCTTCCTCCCTCTCTCCCTCCCGCTCTATCTGAAGATGAATGCAAAAGTGTCCTTGGGTGAGGATTAAAAAAAAGAGAGAGAGAGAGAGAGAATAAAAAAGTATTTTCCAGATGAGTGAAATGAGGCCCAGAGAGATTAAGTAACTCCCCAAGCGACACACAGCTGGAGATGAGCAGGGGCGGATTTGAGCCAGAGTCCCTCCCTGTACTATGTCTCCCACCCCACCTGGGCTGCCACAGTCACAGGTGCCTGGCCCGCTGTCGGGCCTAAATGTGCATCATTTTCTGGTGGTCCTTCAGCTCTCTTCCACTCCCACCCGTCCAGAGCTGAACCTGCCTCCTTTTGATTCCCAGGTAGTGGGCAGGAGGGCATCACGCTCCCACTCACCCCACACCCCCCAGGAGCACAGGGGTTTGTCTCTGTGTTCACTGCCTGGTCCCTGGCCCCACACTGAGGAAGCACCTAGCCAGTCCCTGCTGACCGCACGGATGCATTCGTCTCCCATTTACCAGACTCTGTCTTGGCGGCAGCTTCACTGCACCCACGCTCCCCATGTGCTCCCACTCCGGCCTGCAGAGAGGCCAAAGGCAGGGGGGGGTGGGGGGGGGTGGCAGGACGGGGCGGGGAGTCATGGGCAAGAGAGGAGCCCAGAGCGATCATCTCACCGCCAAGGCCTGTGAGAGAGAATCCAAGCTCAGGCTAAAGGAAAAGTATCATAAATTGGAAATAGGGCCTGAGAGCTGATCATGGATGTTTTTCAAATTCCGGATGAGGTCTGCTTACAAAAAGTATTATTTGTGTTGAGCTCAGGAAGGTCACTGATGTGGCCATAGATGACTCCCAGCCCTGACCGGCCCTGTGAGTCTGGACCTGACCCAGCTGAAGGGCTGTAGGGCTGTAGGGCTGCCTTATGGACAGGGCCCCCTGGGCAGCACCCACAGACACAGCCCGGGGGCTCGGGGGCTGGACCTTCACCTAAGGGATGCCCGGTGCCAGGTTCAGTTTCATTTCTGTCCTTAGAGCGGTCCTCAGCTTCCGGAGAATGCATTCTGCATAATCTCACACGCAGTGTGACTTAACAAGATGTCATTGCAACATGACCAGCTGAGGGCCAGGTTACGGTGAAGTCCTTTTTCCTCCCCCCCACCACCCCCCGCCCAGAGTAGACTTTGTATTTCAAGTTGACCAGGTGAAAAGGTTGAGGGAAAGAGACCCAAGTCTGTCTGTCTGTCTCCTTGGCTGAGGGCCACTTGGATTTCCATGCATGGTTCACACAAGCCCCAACTGGCTAATGTCACAAGAGTTCTGAGTGTTGGGATATAAAGAAAGAATAACAATGGAAAAGTGTTGGGGTCTGTTTCTTTAAGGGAGAGAAAGACTATTTCCTTCCCCCAAGAACCCTGGGGATAGCTGGTCTGGTCATGTGACATTTACTAGTATTTTTTTTATCCTCACCCAAGGACATGCTTTTATTGATTCTAGAGAGAGAGAGAGGGAGAGGGGTTGAGAGTGAGAGAAAAACATGGATGTGAGTGTGAAACACTGACCAGTTGCCTCCTGCACATACCCCAACTGGGATCGAACCTGCAACCTGGGTGTGTGCCCTGACTGGGAATCAAACCCTGACCTTTCGGTGCACGGGGCGATGCTCCAGCCAACGGAGCCACCAGGCCAGGGCTAGTATCAGTTCTCTTCTGACTCTGGAAACTTGTTACTGGAAGGAGCTTGGTTAAGAGCTGGAAATGTTTAGGGTCTTGCCCTCTTCCAAGAGACCAGCAAGCCTGTGCCAATGTCTGTGTGCTCCCAGAGGACCCCCAACTCCTCGTCTTCACCTGCGCTCGGCCCCTCTTTGCTTCCGTCAGTGGTCTGGTGACCCGGCCCAGCGTTCAGCAGCCTGGGCTGGGCTCGCCGCTCTCTGTGCTGCCATTGTGCTCAAACCCATTCAGGCAGCAACAGAAATGGCCCTCAGCCCCTGTGCAAAGGTCACCCTGTGTGTGAGGTTGACGGATGACATCCACGGAGGGCCCCCTCTCCACCAGAGGCCTTCCCGTAGGAAGGTCTGTCTGCTGTGGATCCCCGTTCCCAGAGGACAAGGTTGGAATGACAGCAGGGAAGGCCAGGGAGGGACCTGTCTTCTGATTCCTTTTACCTTCCTTAAAGCCCAGTTAATAAATGACAACCCTGGGTCCTAGACGAACCGCCTCGGTGGGACCCAGTCATGGAGAAGGGAAATTGTCCTGTGATGGATTTTCTGGGCACTGGCAGAAGCCATGTGACCAGAATGACCCAGCTTTTCTGTTCAGGCTGCGACCCCGGTAGGTAGGGGCACATGTGATATGGCTGGGTTCCCCCCCTGAGCGCTGTGCACACCCACGGAGAGTAAACACAGGAGTTAGTGCCTCCTGCCCCGGTGACTTCTCTGCTTGTGAAACAAACAAGATGGTTCGCTGGGAATTTAATATTTGTGTGGGATAAAGGGGTCAAAAGGTACAAACTTCCAGTTATGTAATAAGTAAGTCATGGGATGTAATGTTACAGCTTGGTGACTACAGTGAACAATCCTGTACTGTATGTTTGAAGTTGCTAAGAGAGTAGGTCTTAAAAGTTCTCATCACAAGAAAGACACATTCGTCACCATGGTGCTGGATGCTAACTAGACTCATTGTGGCGACCATTTCACAATTTATACATATATCATATGTTGCACACCTGAAACTAATATAATGTTATATGTCAATCATATCTCAATGAAGCAAAAAATTTTAAATAGCTGTGAAGTTTTGACAGTATATATAAGCATGGGTGAATCTTTGTGTGGTGAATGAATAAAATAATATGGCAAAGCAAGACTAATCACTAAATGCACACTAAAACCCCTAATTCCCCGAGAGGTGTCTTTTACGCTTTCCAAAGGTATCATTGATGATGATAAACTGCCCTTTGGCAGAGATCAGTTTTATCTTTGCTTAAACTCCAAATGTGAAAGTCAATTCTAAAACACTGAACGTGTAACCAGCAACTTCTAGCTCTTTGAAGCAGAGGAAGTATTCCCCGTGCAGCACGGGCACAGCAAGGGCAGGAGGGGCGGGGCTCATAGCTGGAGGTCGTAGCATGCAGGTGAAAACTACTAAAATACTGACTCTGAGCATGTGACCAGCTTCTAGCCCTGGATCTGAACCCCTCCTGGGTCAGGGTCCCTGAGGAGGGAGGCCCAGGTCTGAACCCCGCCTGGGTCAGGGTCCCTGGGGAGGGAGGCTCAGGTCTGAACCCCTCCTGGGTCAGGGTCCCTGAGGAGGGAGGCCCAGGTCTGAACCCCTCCTGGGTCAGGGTCCCTGGGGAGGGAGGCCCAGGTCTGAACCCCGCCTGGGTCAGGGTCCCTGGGGAGAGAGGCCCAGGTCCGAACCCCTCCTGGGTCAGGGTCCCTGGGGAGAGAGGCCCAGGTCCGAACCCCGCCTGGGTCAGGGTCCCTGGGGAGGGAGGCCCAGGTCCGAACCCCTCCTGGGTCAGGGTCCCTGGGGAGGGAGGCCCAGGTCTGAACCCCTCCTGGGTCAGGGTCCCTGGGGAGGGAGGCCCAGGCAGCCCCTCCCAGCTGCGCAGGCCCCCAAGCCCGCTCCGCTTTGCTCAGGCTGTTGTTTCATTTCCCACTTTCCCTTTCAGGCCACGGCCAAGGGCTCCGAGTACGACCATGGCTACTGAGCCTTTCCACCGAGCCTTCCAGAACACAGCCCTCCTCACCATACAAAACATCAATTTCCCCTAAGATGCAGACATTTCTTTTGGAACGAGGTGAGGTATACAAATATTTGTTCATTAATACAATTATTTGTCCAAGAAAAACTTAAGCCAACGTCCCTCTGGGCAGGTGGTCTCATTTGCAGGTGATCACCCATCTGCCTGTATTTAGGGCCATGGTGTCTGCCAAGCAAAATGCCCCCTCAGAGAACAGGCAGGAGCCAGGCTGTTCCCTCGCCAGGCCTGTCACCCACACAAGGCTCACAGCTCCCAAGGTTGCTGGGCTTCCTTGCAGGTCTTCTGCTGCATTTAGTCTATCAAGCTTGGTTGGGCGAGGAGCCTGCCAGCCCCACGGTGGCCTCCACGGCGCCGGGCAGGTGCAGCCAGACCCGTGGCTCGGCTGTTTTCCTTTAGCAACGCCCTGTACGTAGTGGCCAATGCAGCCCCCACCCCTAGATCCCAGCCAGCGGACAGCCGTTGCAGGACAGGGTCCTTCTGGTCCGGGAGGCTTGGAGAGCCAGCACCCCCTGCACCGCCCCTCGAGACGGGTCTCCTTGTTGACCTGCAATCAGCCCTAAAAGGGCAAAGTGGCCTCTGCTACGATGGCCCTTGGGTGGCAGGTGGTCCAGCCACCCGCCATGGTCCGGCTGCTCAGTACGTCATATTTTGTGACATTCGACCCTCCTCCTGCTCCATCCCCCGGCCCCAGCCAGGCTGCCCAGGCAGGGGCGAGGCACGGCTGACGGCTGACGCATGGAGAGACGCGGAGTCCTGGGGCGGAAACAGTGGGAGCCACGCAGGGATGGGGGAGCGAGGGCTGTGTGGCCAGAGGCAGCGAGCCGTAGCCCTGAGCTCTGCTGGCTGAACTTGCCCGGGGCACCTGCTCCGGCAGCCACAAGGCTTTCTGTTCTTTGCATTTTCTTTACCAGAAGGACCCCAAACCAGACCCTGATAGTTCTTCCCTGAGTTTTTAGAGTCTGTTAGGAGATAACAGCAGGCCTCCTTCACGACACCTCAGAGACCCAGACCAAGCTGGATCACACTGGTCCCAGGGGCTCGCCCAGGCTCAGATCCCAGCAAGTGGATCCAACTGACCCCACCAGGTGGCCAGAACCAAAAGTTGTGTCTGGCCAAACCTTTGTGTGCAGACCCAGTCCTCACGGCCAGTATTCAGAAGCGAGGGGTACTGAGCACCTGGATCCCGCCCCACCGACCCAGCCAACCTGGACTTCCTTTATGCTTTCTCTCACCTTCCCCATTCCTGCCCTAGGTGGCCTGTTTCCAAGACTGTCCACTGCAGACTCCCTGATTAGAATACATGGATATGTACAGTTTCCCCTTGCTCTCGCCCTCTAAACGCACTCCAGGTCTTTGTTCCAGGGGGTGATCTGAGCCTCCTCGTCTGGCTGCCTGGCGGGTGAACCCTCTTCTCTCAGACGTTGCTTCTCTGCGTGACGGCCGTGGAACCACCGACTTTGTTCGGTGACAAAATTCTGCCAGTGGTGCTGGGTATTCTGTTACCACGAGTTGAATTGTCCTCCTAGATTTGTCTATGAAGTCCTGAGCCCCGGCACTTAGAGTGAACCTTATCTGAGATAGAGTCTTTGTAGAGGAGATCAGGTAAAGATGAGGTCCCAGGTGAAATGTGGACACAGACACGCGCGGGAGAACTCCACACGAGCAGGGGCCCCAGAGTGGAGGGAACATCCCTGACGACACCTTCAGCTCAGACTTCTGGACTCGGGAGCTGGGGAAAAGCCATCTGTGTACACCACCCCCGCTGTGTGCTCGTTCCGCCGCCCAGGACGCTGGCCGGGGATGCTCTCGACAGCACAGCACCCCGTCTTTGCGGACAATCCCAGCACTTGAATCTCCAGTCCCCAAATGAAACCTTTGATCTTACGTTTTGTTTCATGTTGTTTTAACATTTCAGGACAATCATATGTCAGTTCCCTACTGTTACCATCTGTATCAGGGTGGGACATGAGTGACAAGGGACAAGGCGATACATACGCTGTTCTGAAGTCCACAGTTCACAGTCGGGTTCACTCGTGCTGTTGTGTGTTCTGTGGGTTTTGTCCCGTGTTTAAAAACACCATTACAATACCATACACAGCGGCCTCGCTGCTCTGCCTATTTGTCCCTCTCTCCCCACAAACCTGAAAACACACTTTTTTTTTTCAACTGTCTGCATAGTTTTTCCTTCCCAGAATGTCATCAAGTGGAAATCATACAGCATGTAACCTTTCCAGATTCGCTTCGTCCACCTGGTAGTATGCATGTATTTCCGCCACGTCTCTTCCTGGCTCGATAGCTCGTTTCTGTTTAGTGTGAATAATACGCCTTGTCCGGATGTACCATCGTTTATCTGTCCCCCACTGAAGGACATCTTGGTTGTTTCCAAGGACATATTGGTTGCTTTTGGCAATTATGAATGAAGCTGCTATAAGCATCTGTGCGCAGGTTTCTGTGTGAACGTGTTTTCCACTCCTCTGAGTAAATACCAAGGAGTGTGGTTGCTGGATTGTATGGCAAGAGTGTTTGTAGGAAACTGCCAAACTGTCTTCCAACGTGGCTGCACCATTTGCATCTACAGCAGCAGCGGAGGAGAGTCCCGGGGCTCCCCGTCCTCAGCGCCTGCTGGTGCCGGCGCTCTGGGCTGGGCCGTTTGCATGTGTGCGGTGTCTCACCACTGTTTTCGTCTACAGCTCCCTGCTGCATGTGCTGTTGACCATCTTTTCATATGCTAGTGGCCACCCGCACATCTTGGCTGAAGTGTCTGTTTAGAACTGCTGCCCTGTTTAAAATCAGGCTATTTGTTTTCTTACCGGAGAGTTTGAAGAGTTCTTTGTGCATTTTGGAGACCAGTCCTTTATCAGATGTGTGTTTTGAAAATATTTCCCCCCATCTGTGGCTTGTCTTCTCATGTTTGTAAGCCTGCTCTGTTTCCGGACCGTCGGGAGGGCCAGCAGGACAGACACCAGTGTCCTCGGGCTGTGCTGCGTGTGAGACACCCATCCCCTGGCCCACACTCGCTGGGCTGCAGGCTGACTGTGGGGCCACATCCAAGCAGCGGGAGAGAGTTTCAGCTGGAGGAACATTCATTTTGGGTGGGAATCTGTCAGCTTCCGTTGCATTCACTCCATCTGCCCCTCCATCAGCATTTCGGGTGTACTCGTTATGCACCCTGCATGATTCTAGGCGTTCGGAAAGCGAAGGTTAGTGAGACAGAGTTCTCGCCTTCAAAAACCTCACAGGCCAGTCTTGGAAGTGGTCAAAGAAATAGGTCATTTCAGTGCAGTGTGAGAAGTACCCGGCAGAGGGGAGGGCGGGTGAATGGGGATGAGGATGGCTGTTGGGTGGGGACCATAACAGAAGGAAGGAGAGTCAGAGTGAAGGGCTCACCAATTCTGTAGTCTCCAGGGGCCCTGAGGTAGCAGCAGGGAGCAGCCCTGTCCTGCTGAGCCTTTGCAGGTAAGCCCAGGAGCATCCCACCCCCAAAAAGCAGAGAGAAGGTGGCCCTCCCCCTACCCTACTCTTACTGTCACAGACACAGCTTCCTCTTTGCCACTTTCATTTGGTGCCTTCGTCCCCAAACAGGAACTGCTGCAGGGCCCCTGGGTGAAGCAGCTGGGGAAGGGTGAGTGGCCTGCATGTCCAGAGGGACCATCTACAATGTCAGGTTGAGGACCGCAGCTACGCTTCACGAACGTCAGCCTCCTAGAGGACCTGGGGCGCCACTGTGCAGGTCTGCGCCTTCAGTGTGTGTCTTCCTCTCCTGCCCTCACCCTGCAAGGTGCAAGCACACGATGACCCCTGCAAGGTGGAATGACTCCAAAGTCACCACAGCTGTGAAGGGGAAACAAGGCACTTCCTATTATCAAGTTTCTGCAACTGGCAACAAGGGGAAAATCTTCCTCCAGCTCCCTCTCAACCTGAAATTCTTTTCATTGTAAAGGTGATGCATCCTAGTGACAGTAGAGGGGGACCCCCAAAGAAAGGCGAGAGTCCTTCTTGCTAACCCTGCTCCATGTGACCCTCCCCAGAGAGAACCACAGTGAAGAAATCCGTTTCCTGCCAGGCCTCCCTAAGTGCAGACACACATCTGCCTTTGGTTGTACACAAATAGGTTGTAGGACAGTTTCTGTGGCTTCCTTATGTCTACTTTTTGGACATATTTCCAGGTTACTATAGATAACCCAATCTCCCTTTTGTCTTTATCACTTGTTTCTTTTTGAAGGCAACTGATTAGGCCACAGACACGCCCGAAGCTCTAAGTGGGGGCTGTCAGGCGCCTTCGCAGTGCGAAGGGGCGACAGCGCGGGGCGGAAGCCCCGGGAGACAGCCGTGCTGGAACTCCAGTGGCTCCAGCCAGCTGTCCTCCCCGGCTTCCTGACCTGTATCGGTTCAGAAACCACATCTGTAAAATGCAGGTTCTACACGACTTAGGCTACCGGCCAGAGCATAATAGTTGCTGAAGTAATGTAGTTCTTATTTTTGTTTTGTCCAACTTTTGTTAGTTTTATTTTTCTTTAATTAAAATTTTTTAAAAATTACAGTTCACTTTCAATATTATTATTTTTTAAAACTGATTTTAGAGAGCGAGAGGAAGGGAGAGGGAGAGAGAAACATTGATGGGAGAGAACTGTCAATCAGCTGCCTCCTGCAAGCCCTCTACTAGGGATCGAACCTGAAACCCAGACATGTTCCCTGACCAGGAATCGAACCAGCAACCTCTCAGTGCATGGAATGATGCTCAACCAACTGAGCCAGGGTGCATTCAATTTATTTTGTATTAGTTTTAGATGTACAGCATAATGGTTAGAAAATCATATACTTTACAAAGTGTTCCCCCTGATATTTCCAGTACCCCCCTGGCAGAAAACTATGGTACATATATACAATGGAATATTACTTGACCATAAAAAAAGAATGAAATCTTACCATTTGTGACAACATGGTAGGACCTAGAGGACATTATGTTAGTGAAATAAATCAGTCAGAGAAAGACATATACCATATGATTTTATTTATATGTGGAATCTAAAGAACAATATAAAGGAACAAACAAGATAGAAACAGACTCATAGAAAACTGATGATTGCCAGAGGGGTGGGGGTTGGGAGGCTGGGTGAGAAAGGGCCCTGGCCAGTGTGCTCAGCGACTAGTGCATCAGCCCAAGGATCAAAGGGTTCGATTCCTGGTCAGTGACACGTACTTTGGTTGTGGGTTCAATCCCTGGCCCTGGGGTTGTGCAGGAGGCAATCAATCCATGTGTCTCTTCACACTGATGTTTCTCTCTCTTTCTCCGCCCCCACTCCCACTCTATCTAAAAAATCAATGGAAAAGTATCCTCAGGTGAGGATTTTTTTTAAAAGTATAGATTGGTAGTTACAAAACAGTGACGGTGATATAAAGAATAGCATAGGCGCCCTGGCTGGTTTGGCTCAGCGGTTAGAGGGTTGGCCTGCGGTCTACGGAGACCCGGGTTCGGTTCCCGCTAAGGGCATGTACTTCGGCTGTAGTTTGTCCCCGGCCCTTGTCAGGTCGTGTGGGTGGCGGCCACTCGATGTGTCCCTTTCGCGTCGATGTTTCTCTCTCTCTCTTCCTCTCTCTCCCTCCCACTCTATCTGAACAAAATATCGAGAAATGTCCTCGGGTGAGGATAAAAAAAAAAAAAAAAAAGAATAGCATAGGCAATCGAGTCAGTAATATTGTTAATGTAGTTCTTAAATAAATAGAGAGATGGTCCATGTTGATGGACTGGAAGCCTCAATGTTACTAAGAGGATGATTATTGATCTACAGATGCAACACAGTCCCTATCAAAATCCCATCAGGTATTTTTATCATTCCAGATTTTTTTCAGTGTGTCTCATTTTGCTGCAAATTGGAGTCACTTGTGGGGAAAACTGAGCCCTCCTCCAAGACCCCGGCTTCACACAGGGCTGACACTGCCTATGGCACAGGGCAGGTTCTGAGTTCTGACCAGACCGCTGGCTCCTGGTGGCCCCGCCCCTGGCCCCCGGGCCTCCCCGCCCCACTGGCAGCTCATGTTGGTTTCCTTTGAAACCCACGTGCTCTTTAATCCCAGGAATTCTCAGTGGTAAGAACTGGGTGGAGCCTGTCATGTGTGTATTAGTGAACGTGTCACGTGTGGATCAGTTTCCTAGGGCTGTTGGAACGAAGTACCACAGACTGAGACACTTACACGGAAACGTGTGCTCTCACCGCTGTGGGGGCCACAAGTCCAAGGTCGAAGTGTCCACGGGCCAGCTCCTGAGGCTGTGGGGAGGACCCTGATCCTGGCTTCTGGTCCCAGAAGAAAGGAATACACTGGGGGGGGCACACAGAACCTGAGGAATGCCGTGGCCAAGTGCCACCGATGTCATAAACGTTTATTGAGTAAGAGGGGACTTTGGAAGGAAAATGTGGGGCTGTTTGGGGGAAATCTGCATTAAAATGAAGAAGCTTGAAGACATTTGGGAAACTGACATTTGGCCTTCCTGTGGTAACAGGTTATGCAACTGACCAATATTAAGAAAGTTCTTGAGCAGGAGGATAAAAACGCTTGAGCCCTGCTGCTTTTGGGGAAGTCATCTGAGCCTCCTGGAGCCTCAACCCGGGGCCCCACCCCATTCTATCCCCCACTCCACCCCACCCCGCAGGCATTGAGCGGTTTCTCCTGCCCTCTAGTGGTTGCTGCTGGAACTGCACCTGAGAAGAACCTGGGAGTCAACAGCTGCTGGAGGGAGAGTGCAGGCTGTCACCGGGGCTCATGTCTCCCACCTGTGCTTCGAGCTCCTAGGAAGCCAACCCTGGCTTTCAAGCCTTTTTGGCTCTTCCATCTCTTAACTGCATGTTGTTTCAACCAGGGCCCTTCGTAGGGGCTGTCTCCATGTTCGGGACTATAGGCAGTGTCCCACATCCTGACTCAGGAGGAAAGGGGCAGCCAAGGGACTTCAGAGCCACCACCGGGCGGGGACAGCCCTGCCGGGCAGGATTCTCGGTCCTGTCTGCCCGTCGGCTCACATCTTGAAACGCGTGTGCTCCAGGACCTCTAAGAGAAGTTTGCAGAACCTCGCTCCCCTTACATTTTCGCCACAGGTTTGCCTGGTTACGAAGAGATGTAACTTCGAGTGCACGTCCATGCTGACATTTTCAAAACCAAGACTGTTCCCTCACTCTTACAGTGTGTCCAGGGGAGCCCAGATGCGGCAGAGACTCCGCATCTGCCATCGGCGGTGGAAGAGGTAGGAGGCGTACGTCCATTCCCTTGCTGTCCTTGGACTCCTGTTCCCCCAAAATGTTACTGTGAGGGGACATCTCTGTCCTTGAAAGTCTTTTACGGCCCCCCTTGGGCTGAATAACCCAGACTGGAGGCAAAGGAAAGGATATGGAGAGCGTCCGGTGGTACAGACAGCAGGGCTGAGTGTAGACGGGGCTGTAGGCACAGATGGGCTGTGCAGGGCCGACTGTTCACTATCGCCTCTCGCCTGCCCCACGGGAGTCTGTGGACCTCAGGAAGTACCTGGGCGGTGCTGTGAAGGAGTGGGGGTCGGGGGTGAGCTCTGCCCTCTCTCTGGAAGCCCTTGAGTCGGAAGAGGCCAGCGGTGCGCCCGGGGGACCAAGGGCCCTGGGGCCCAGGAAGCTGAGCGGATCACAGACCCGCAGGACAGCATCTGGAGACGACTTTGACCAGAGGCAGGGAAAACGACTGCGGCTTCTTCATAGGAGACAGCCCCTACTGTGGACCCTCACCTGCTTCTCTCACGTCTGATGAAGGGCGACCGCTCAACCTCTGATGCCGCCCAGGGGCATCTCCTGCTCCAGCCACACGTTTGTCCCTTCGCCTGGGCACAGCACCACTTGCCTGGCCGCCTGAGACTGTTCATTCCTGCCTCTTCTGGGTCAGAATCCCGAGTGGTAACATTTACGCCTGGGGCATGGGAGATTCAATGCAGTTTTTTAAACAAAGTCCTGCCCTGGCCGGTTTGGCTCCATAGTTAGAGCGTAGGCCGGCAGACCAAAGAGTCACGGGTTCGATCCGGCCAAGGGCACGTACCTTGGTTTCGGTTTCGTCCTGGCCCTGGTCGGGGTCGTTCAGGAGGCAACCAGTCTATGTGTCTCTCACACTCACATCGATGTTTCTCTCTCTCTCCCTCTCTCTGTCTCCATCCCACTCTATCTTGAAGATAAATGGAAAAGTGTCCTCGGGTGAGGATTTAAAAAACATAAATAAATAAACTAAATCCATGAGTGGAAACAGTGGAGGCCTCCTGGGGCAAGCAGTCCGACCCCAGCCTGTGCTCCTCGGGGAGAGTTAGTTGCTGTACCCTAAGTGGCTGACGTGCCGGGAAGGGGACCCTCCTGCCCTCCCGCCCTCCCGCCCTCCCGCCCCAGGACTGCCGACTGGGCGAAGGACGTGCACGACATCTGTCCTTCAAGAACCAACATCTCCCTCTGAGAAGGGTTTTGGATGGTTATATCCATGTTACTTCTTTACTGGACTTGTGTGTGTATGTGTGTGTGTGTGTGCACGTGTAACTGATCATTTGTGGCATTACTATGGGGTGTCCTTTCTCCCTGACCCCTCACCTTGGTCTCTGCCTTTAGGACCACAGCACAGAGCACAGCACAGAGACTCCATTTGCTCCCAGGAGGGCTTAAAGTGACCTTTGAATGACCTTAGACAAGGGTGGGAGACAGCACCACCTTGCCAGGCCCTATCTGCACCCTACATGGCCCCCCAAAAAGTCCAGAGCAGGGAGGGAGGTGGACAGGGGCAGGGGAAGGCAGAACTGCTCTGGGTTAGTGAGCTTTTTGGATGAGTGGAGCTTGACAGTGGGGTGCAGTCCCCTCACATGTCCCCATGAACCTCTGCAGGGCAGCCCCCCCCCATAGGGCAGCGAGGGGGAGCAGCACACTGACTGTGCTCCTCAGGAGAAGATGCTGTGCCCTTGTCCGTCTGCAGAGGGCGGAGAGGCTGAAGGAGCCCATGCCGGTCCCTGCAGTGCAGGTGGCCGGGATGAGGGGGTCAGGAGAGCCCGGTGGGGACTTGGAGGGAAGCCCGCCCAATGCAGGTTAGATCTGGGTGTTGATACACCCGGAATGACAATCACTAGTTTGAACCAGAATTTCCCAAGTGAGCCGGTTAAGCTGTTTGCTGTTGCAGGACTCCCCTTCTGAGAAATCAGTGTGTGGCCAAATAGGGCTGCGGCACCTGTCTGCACTTGTGTAATTCACACCTGCTGGTTACCTGTAACTAATGTGCATCCTAATTGGACAAGTATATGTGATATGTGGTTATAAATTGTCTTTATAATGTGTATTTTTAAAAAACTAAACTGCTAACATCTTCAAACATACTCAAAAGTAAAGGTCACAGAGTTATGGACTCGTGTATCAGCGAGGGTTCAGGAAGACTGGGGTAGTCACATTAGGATAATTTGAAGTTTATAGTTATGGTTGGGGTGTGGGGACTTTCCCAGGAACAGAGCAGTCCCAGGGGCAGTGCCAGGGGCTGTGACCTCCCCGAGGCCCATAGACCAGGGCAGGCAGTAGTTCCTGGGCCCCCGAGACTGTGTGTGTGTGTGTGGGGGGCTGCGGGGAGGATAAGCAGTGGAGGCCCTGCTTTCGATCCCTTTGGGCACGTACCTGGAGTGGAATTGTGGGGTCGTGCGGTAATTTTAAATTCAGCTTTTTAAGAGCCAGGAAACTGTCCGGTGGTGGCCGCACCACTTTCTTCTCACTGAGCACAATTCTTCCCATCTTCCTCAACACGTTATCTTAAAAATCACCCAGTTGTGGTTTTCATTTGCATTTCCCAAAAATTAATGATGTTAGCATGTTTCCATGTGCTTACTGGTCATTTGTGTACCTTTTTTTGAAAAATGTTTATTCAAACCCTGTCCATTTTTGAATTGGGTTGTTTTTGTTATCGTTGAGTTGTGGTTCTTTATTTTTTCTGGACATTGACCACTTTCAGGTACCAGATTTGCAAGTACTTTATCCCCTTCCACGGGCTGATTTTCTTTTCACTTTTTTTATCCTCACCCAAGGACAGTTTTTTGCATTTATCTTCAGATAGAGCGGGAGGAAGAGAGGGAGGAAGAGAGAGAGAAACATCCATGTGAGAGAGACACACTGAGTGGCTGCCACCCACACGACCCCAACTGGGGTGGGGGACAAACCGCAACCAAGGCACGCGCCCTTAGCGGGAACTGAACCCGGGACTCTCTGGTCCTCGGGCCGACGTTCTAACCACTGAGCCAAACCGGCCAGGGCTCTTTTCACTTTCTTGATAGTGTCCTTTGGTGCACAAGATTTTTTAATTTTGATGAAAACCAATGTGCTTTTGGTGTCATATACAACAAATCATTGCCAAATCCAGTGTCACGAAGGCCCCATGTGCTGCCACCCCCATGACTAAAAGCTGCAATCAGCCATCAGGACCCACGACCCTGATTTTGAACAAAGTCGTTGCTGCCCACCAGGCTCCAACAAGCCGCATTTGGAATGTGGGCTGCGTCCCACAGCTGACTGCGTGGGGCTGGGCGCCGGGGTGGTGGTCACGGCTCAGGGAAAGCTGAAACCGACCAGTTTACCTGCCTCCACCAAGCTCTCGCCTGGGTGCCCAGTGTTCTCCTCACCTCGGGTTTCGGATTGTTTATCCAGACAGCTCCTGCCACATCAAGGTCAACCGCGGCCTGGATGGAGGACGGGCTCCCGGAGCCTCCTACTCCACCCTCCCTGACGTCACCGCTAACTAGATTTTGTGACCAGAGTCAAACACTGGAGGTTTTAGCCTAACTATAAGCTGTCCCCCGGAGAAACATCGGAAGGCTGTCTGATCCCCTGATGGCGCCGGTTCACCGTGGGTCCCCTCGTTCCTGCGATGTCTGAACCCCTCACTCTGTCCAAGTCCAAGGCCCGTTCATTCCAGCCAGGGCCAGCGCGGGGGCACCGCGGCGGCGGCTCGGAGCCAGGGTCTCACTCCATGGCCACAGGAAGCGGCTGCTCCGCCAGGTGAGGGCGGAGACAAACAGCTCATCTTCGGAACTGAATCAGGAAACTGAAATTTTTCTAAACAATGAAAACAATGTCCAAAAGGGTGGTTTGGGGTGTGTGACTGCGTTAGTGTTTAAGTCAACCACAAGCCCCTGGGTCTTTTGTGGACTCGCCTGGGAAACAAACCAGCCCCGTAACGCTGGGGTCCGCAGATGATCCAAGGGTTGTCTTCACTGTGAGTCAACCTCCTGACATTAATTTCTTCATTCAAATAGGACAGAGGAAGATTTATTAACAATTTTTTTTAATTTTCTGCACTAATATTTATACAGTTGTAAACTCAAGGAATCATTCAACACTTATATAAACTGGGGGAAGAGTTAATAAGCACCTTCAATGGTTTCCACAGTTTAAGAATTTACCATTTAAAAAATGAATAGTTGTAAAAATTATACAAAATCAAGACAAACATTTGATATAGAGGGCTTGATATAGAATGAAAGATAAATATAAAGAGGAAGTAAAACTAATTTGTGGGTTGGGCTATATAGACTACGGTCCCCACACCTTGTGATTCTTGGGGACACATCTGCCTCTGAAAATAACTCCCATTATTCACAGGAAGGCTCTCCCCTCGGGTCCGTGGGCTGCAGCCCAGCTGGTGACCAGGAGCTGACAGTGCTGGGTGGTCAGAGAGAGGCTGGGCTCAGGTGTGGGGAGGTCCTGCCCACCACTGGGGTGCTGGGGTGGGGCCTGCCAGAGCACAGGAACAGGGCACAGACCCTCCCTGGGGCTGTGTGTGCGTCTGGGGGTTTGGTCAGGGATTCTCTCTGTGCTGGGCTCGAGACTTTCCCGTCACAGAAGCTCAGGGCTTATGTTGGGGGAACAGTGAGGGAAATGTTGTTGAGGCTCAGGCTGGCGGCCACCCAGCCACCAGGTCAGACGGTTTCAGTCTGGACCCTTTTAAGTAGGGTGTTGCTGTGAAATACCGGGTGAGGGAACCAGACACTCTTCATTTCCGCTCTATGCAGTCAACTCCCAGGGTGTTGTCAGGGCAACGGCAGGTCCTGCCTCCTGGGGTGGCCAGGCAGAGGTGGGTGCAGCCGCCATTGTTCACTGAGCAGTAGTTGTGACCTGGAAAAGGCAGCGATCAGTTCGACAGCCCTCTGAGAGCATGGCCTCCGTGTTAACCCCCTGTTTGGTTTCCAGGAAGCCAAGCTTGTGGGGCTCCAGGGCAACAGGGAAGGCTGTACCAGACACTCGCTAAGTTCACCTCCGGGCTGTTTCCTCACCATTCAGGATTTGCCGGGCAGGCTGACTGGCAGCCAGGCGGATCTCAGGGAGAGCGGCCCTGCTCTGACGATAACAGGGTGCTGGCATTCTACAGCACAAAGTGCCCTCTGTCTAGCTTGCCCACTTGACTTCGCACTTGACGGGGGGAGGAGGGAAGCCAGGGAGGAGAGCACTAGGGGAGAGGTCTTGGAGACGCAGCAGACTGAGCCGGGCCTGCACTGTCAGCTGTGTGACTGTGGGCAAGCGTCTCCGTAGTAACCGCACCTGCCTCCCTGGGTTGCTATGGAGACTAAATGAACTGATGAACACAAAGCACTTAGAACACGGAGTGAGTTATCTATGCAAAACGCCCAGCTCACAGGAAGTGCCAATCCATGTTTGTAATTACTTTCATTATTAATTACTGTTGTTGCTGTTAGGCCAAATAAATGGACCTTCAAAGCAGCAGAGATCCTGACACTAATGTTCCTATTTGGAACCTGAAGACCATACACTTCTGGACCGAGCCTGAGATTCGGTGCTTTTTCTCACCTTGTCTACTTCATTCCCCACAGCTTTCTACTCCTCTGCCTCACCCATGAAATAATGAAGACCCCGGGGGGAAGGGACTGCGTCTCACCTGTCCTGTGACCAGGGCCACTAGAGGCTATACAGCTAGCAGCCAGAGTGTGGGCTCTGAGCCCCGGGGTGCCCTTGGTCCCCAAACAGTAAGAGCACAGGGAGTTACCTTGGGGACACTGAGACAGGGCGGTGGTGATGCCGTACAGTCGGGTCTGCTTGTGGGGGTGGAAGGTGTCCGTCTCTTTGGAAACAGCACGATCTACAGCGACCACAGAATTCCTGCAAGAACCAAAGGGCAGCGGGTACAACATGCCTGATGGCCCCGCCTCCTCCTGCAGCACAGCCTCCCTCACGGTGGGGTACCTCAGAGGCTGTAGGCAGACACACTGGCCTTGCTTCCTAGCCACCCCTTCCTCCTCCGGGTGGGCCCAGCCTGCATTTCCCTGTCTTCTTAAAAAAGGACAGGACTCAGCTGGTATCCCCTCTGGCACTAAATTCTAAGCTGGGAAATCTGCTTTCTCCACAGCGCCCCTGGCCGAGCGCTGGCTGGTTTAACCCTTCCTTCTGCAGGAAGGGTGCCCAGGGAGGGGCTCTGGCACCCTGCAGTTTAAGAGCAGCGATGAAGTAGGGCACGGAGGGGGCACGGAGCCCACCAGCCAAAGGGCCCCGGACCCTTGGGAAGAGTGGACGTGCTCAGTGCTCAGCAAGCTCAAGTTTATAGACTTGAAGCTGCCGCCCACCCTGCTAAACAGTGATAAACGTGATAAAAACCACATGATAAACGCCCCCTCCCCCGGAGCCCCCCACGCCCCTCCCGACAACCAGAAGCCGAGGTGGAGGGGCATCTTGGAGGCAGGAGGTCAAGCCCAGAGGCAGATGGGAAGGGCTCAGCCTCCCAGAGGTGGAGGGTGGCAGGGCAGGCCGCTGACGTACGTCTTCCAGTCCGTGTAATACAGATTCTTCCCGAAGCTCGTGACGGCAAAGGGATACTGGAGCCCCTCGAGGACCCTGCGTCTGCCGGGCTGACCCGGCTGCAGGCACTCGGCCCGGTTGGTGCCTGTGTGAGCGAGAACAAGCCGTTCATTGTCTGGACAAGAAACGGCCCCTCTGTGCCACTGAGCAAGAGCCGCGAGGGCGGGGGCGAGGGCGGGGGCGAGGGCCATCCAGCACTGCAATGACGGATCCTGGGGACGCAGGAGGGGAGCGCAGGAGGAAAGTCGTCGTTTCACCCTCTCTTGCCCACCCCATCGGGCTCCCACGCTGGCTCTGCTGGGAGAGGTGAACTGAGCAGCCCCGCGCCCGGAGCAGCTGGGGCTCAGGGGGAACACGGCCCCGGCCCAGTGCTTGCTCACGCTCCTCCTCCCTGAAGCCTCCCCAGGCTCCTCCCTGAATTCAGGGCCTAAGAACTAAACCGCACTGCCAGTCAGGGCTGTGCCCACGTGACGACTGGGGCCGTTTCCCTTTAACTGTGCACGCCGTACCCCTCCTGCACCCCAAGTGCAAGATGTAGTCCCTGCACCCTGTGGCACTGGCAGTCTGGACCAGAGCAGGTCTCCAGAGATGGACAGATGACTGACATTCCTTCCCAACTGAGCACCCTGCCCACAGCCCTTGCCTGAGGGACACCCCAAATCTACCAGGGCAGGGGCACACGTCAGGACAGCATTACTTTATCTCCCTTGGCTCCAAGTTGCCTGGCCCCTGGGGACAGTGGGAGCTACAGGAAAGTAAGTTGTGAATTGATGAACAGATACCACAATGAGGACAGGCTCTGGGGTTGGCAAACTTTGTCTTAAAGGACCAGATAGTAATTATTTTAGGTTCTGTGGGCCAAGGGGCAAATCAAGGACATTATGTAGGCATTTACATAATCATTTAAAATGTAACGTTTAAAAATGTAAAAACCGTTTCCAGGTCCCAGGTTACACCAGAGCAGGTGGCAGGTTGGGTTACCCCACGGGCCGTAGTTTGCTGATTAGACTGAGATGGTGGAGACCCCTCCCCAGAGCATCGACCCAGAGAAACCACGAATTTCAGAGCAAGGATATGCAGTGTTTCTGTGCAGGAAAGAAAAGTTCTCTCACGCAGTCTTCTCTAACAGGTCCCCTCAATGCAGACGGCTGCCTCACCACGGGTCACAGTTACGTGCGGTTAGAGGGAAAAACTCTGCCCCGCCGAGTCACCTGCATCCACCCAGCAGAGCTGGGATGAGTAGGCATCAAAGGTCAGCCCGTTGGGCAGGCCCAGGTCGTCCTGCACGAGGACCCTCCGGTTTGTGCCGTCCATGTAAGAAGTTTCAATTTTGGGGTTGTCTCTGTTCCAGTCTGTCCAGTAGAGGTTCCTGGAGGGCATGGAGTGAAAGAGGTAGAGAAATAACCAAGATGCAGAACAGCAGTTACTAAACACACTTAGGAAGAACCTCTGGTGAAGACTAGCAGACACGAGCACACGAAGTGAAGGCAACAAGACACACTTTCCTTTGGTTCTTCACTTGAACCGGTCATTCTGTGAATATTGAATTCACTTCCCTTAAACATCTCAAAACTGTTTAAAAAGAAAAAAAAAACACAGAACACCAAACTGGCACAAATGCCTGGGACTCCCCTATGCTGTCACCACAGGGAGGCCCGGCAGCCCCTGGTGTCGAGGGCCGGGCCGCTGTGTCACTCAGAGTTCGCAGTAGGGAAGGGAGAGGGAGCACCGAGGTGCTACCGAAACCATCGGAAGGGGCTCCGAGGTGTTCGCGCCGGGTGGCCCAGGGAGGAGCCCCAGGGGTACATTTATATTTGACGCTCTTCCGAGATTCATGCAACTCAGCTGTTGATCCACATTCAACCCGCATGGAAACACCCAACTTACAAAGTCTGGGTAAAATGACTGAAAGCAGAACATGGTGCCAAGTCCACGACTGTAACAGATGCTGTGGCATCTCACGGTGGCTCTCTCAGCCCCCAGGGGAGCATTCATTCAGGGGAGCGAGGCTGGAGAACACCCAGAACGCGGAGCAAGTACCGCAGACGCACACAGACTACACCAAGGTACCCTCTCATGGAGTCTGTCACGATGCCTCTGGGATTCACCAAACCGGTCTCAAACAGCACCCGGCGCTGGGTGCCGTCCAGCTTTGCAACTTCGATTCGATCCAGGCGAGAATCCGTCCAGAAGAGGTTGCGGCCAAGGTGGTCAAGGGCAATGCCTTCCGGGCTTCCGAGATCTAGAAGCAAACACAGAGCCCGTCGGGCGTGTTCAGGCAGGTAGAATCGGCTTCTCTGACACTCGGTGCCTTTACCCAGCGCCCCACCCCCGCACTTGGAGAAAACAAGCGGGAATGTGACATGCTTACTGTTCACGAGATAAGCAATACTCAAAGAGACAAATTAATACACGCCACACATTCGCTTGGTGGACATCCAGGTCCAAACGATGCCGAAGCTTTGGCCCCACCGCCAAGGAGCCCACGGCCAACTCCCACTGAGTTCCGTGTTCTTGGGAGCACGGGGAGGGATGCTGGCCAGCCTTCGGAGACCAGGGAAGGATCCCTGGGGGAGGTGACATTTGTGAAGACGGCTCCTGAAGGGCCACAGGAGTCTGTCAGGCAAAGGCCCTGCTAGGGTTTTCCAGGAGGTGGGACCAGACAGATAAACAGGAAGACGGGGCGGCTTGCCTGACCTTTGGGAAACGGGGTGGAAACCATGAGGGCGGCCGTGGCCAGAGATGAGTTAGGACAGCGTGTCAACAAGCCGACAGCTCAGCCCACAGGCGAAGGGAAGGCAGAGGAAGATATGTAGGTGAGGAATTGATCAGATTTACCATTTCATTAATTATTAAGGGAAGGGTCATTTGAGAGAAATAATATATGTAAGAAATGACAGCTGTTTTTACTTTTATACAAGTATTAGGAGTACAGAGAAGGGGTGTCAGTGACACAGCACTCCTGGAAGTCTTGACTGGGTTATAAGTAACTGGCCTTCAAGCCAGAGGTCACACAGGGAAGCTGGCTGCAGCGTGACCTTCAGTGCCCCCCCGGCTGACCCCAAGTTCAAGACTGCAGTGGTGTCCTGACGTAAACAAAACCAAAACCCCAGCACGGTCGTCCTGGTGTCTCTCAGGATGTCTCCCCTCTTCCAGGGGAAGAACTGGAGGTCACTTCCGGTCGGGAGGGGAAGAGGCCGAGAGGGAAGCTGCCCTACCTGAGGGGCCCGGGGGTAAGACATCACTGACACTGTGTTTGCTCATCGGTGTATGAGCGAGTCAGCCCTCGGCCCTGTCCTGGCCGTGACCGTGACCGTGGACGCGGGAGACATCCAAGCCCTGAAAGGACCCCCGTTGGAGGGAGTTTATTAGGAATTAGAAACAGCCCTTAACCAAGGTCTTCATTATTCAAACTCAAAGTAGAGATTTAAAAAGTATGAAAACATTTCCCATGTCCCTAGAGGAAGGGGCAGCAAGAATGGCCTCCAAAATGTGGATGAAAACGAGGCCACATGCTAACCTGAGGCTCAGGGAGGCCTGCATGGCAGCCGTACAAACTCCGAGTCTGGAAGTAACCACACAGGATGGTCTGAAATTAAAACTTTTGAACTCAAAGCAGTTTATGGTGGGTAGTCATGTCCTAGGCATCTTCCTGACAGATGTCAGTTTTTACCTTAATGGAGCCTGTTGTCTTTTTGCATCTAAGATAACAGAACTTTGGAATGTGGGGTGACTCCCTTTTTCCCAGACCCCTCAGGGCACAATCTCGGCACCAGGGTGGAGAACACAAATCCCCTCACTGTTATTATCATGTTAATTATCGACTGTTACCTATCCTGTACCCATCTCTGTAAAAGAGGGATGTGTCTATCATTTCACTTTTCATCCAATCCCAGAGGTTTCCAGCTTTGCTTTCTCCCGCCTCCCTAATTGATCACCATTGGATGGCATGTGACCCACTTACTTCTCTTTTGATTGTCAGTATAGTTAAGGTGCAAACTGCCCTTCTCCAGAGCATTGTCTCAATCCACTGAGGTTTTCCTTCCCAGCATTGGTCGACAGTTTGGCTCAAATAAACACAAAATTCCTCACAGGTTTATGTTTCTTATGTTGACAAAAGGCACCTTTGGACTTTCAGACAAAAGCAGAAAAAATCATTCTGGGGTCCGTTAGCAATGAGCACATCCCTGGGAGCGGCAGGAGCTGCTCGGACACACAGCCACATGGGAGGAGCCTGCTAGGTGAGTCCCTTTACAGGACACCTGGGGAGCCCGGCCCTGACTTCGAACCGACCCTCCTCCCCAAGCAGGAGAACACTTCTGCATGGGCTACGGTGCCAACGGAAGGGCCTGGAAACGCCACCCTTTACTGTGTAGCCAGAGTGAGAAGCAATGACTTTGAGGAAATGTATCCAGGAAACAGATCATGATACTTATGAAAGATGTTTCGTTAGGACTTGAACTCGAGGAGAGAAAGAGAAGCCCAGCAGTCAGACCCTGGGAGAGAAGGAAGACAAGAAAGACAGGCCTGCTGCCTCGTTCACTCACTAGGGAGGTGCCGACCTGGATCATGACGGAGACCTAAGCGGAAGTTCTTCTCTTTTTGAATTAAAAGAATGCATTCCCTTCCTTCTACCATGAGCACATTCTGGTGGCTTCTGTTTGCAAGTGGGCTTCTGCCTGGAGCTTGTCACTGTGCTTACAACCTCCCTGCTCCAGCAGCCACAGAACATAGCAGCAATGACCTGCTCCCCTCTACTGCCGCGGTCTGGAGTCAAATCACAGATAACAGCAACGTTTTTAACAGAGACAGGACGCAGACTTCTGTTCATTAAACCAAACCATGAAAAGTAGCAGATGTTGTTTAAGTAGCACATCGACTTCCAGAAAAGGATGTGGGGTCATGTCCAAAGCCGGTCACATGTAGCGCAGCCTTAGCTTCATTCTGGTGGCACCATCTCTTATGAGGGAGCCAAGGAAGGACCAAAGGCCCAAGGGCCACTCCTAGGCAAAGGGACCTTCAGAATGTCAATTGTTGGGGAATGTTAAATAGGAAACTCGAAAAACTACATTCAACCCCAAGAAAAGAGAATGCCAAGCAAGTTGCTATATTTTAAAGGCCCTTTTTAAAAATCTTTATTGTTGTTGCCCTGGCCGGTTTGGCTCAGCGGTTGGAGCGTCGGCCTGCGGTCCGGAGAGACCCAGGTTCAGTTCCCGCTAAGGGCATGTACCTCGGTTGCAGTTTGTCCCCGGCCCTGGTTGGTTGTGCGGGTGGCAGCCGCTCGATGTGTCCCTTCACGTCGATGTTTCTCTCTCTCTCTCCCTTCCTTTCTCTCCCTCCCACTCTATCTGTACAAAAAAAAAAAGGAAAAATATCCTCGGGTAAAGATAAAAAATGAATAAATAAAAATAAAAATCTTTATTGTTGAAAGTATTATTCCCCCCATTGACCCCTCCTCCCCACTCCCACCCTCTTCCTGCTTTCCCCAAAAGACTGTTTGTGTCCACTGGTTGTGTGCATATGCATGTAAATTCTTTGGGTTATCTCTTCCCAGCTTCCCCACCCCCAGCCCTCTGAGGTCCTTCAGTCTGTTAAAGGTCTGTTTTTGATTTGAGTGCTTTGCGGAGGAAGCAAGATGATAGTCCAAATCAGCGTCCCCAGCACGACCCTGTTGCTGGAGTGGAAATGTCTGAGTCAGCTGTCCTTGCTAGCTCGGGGTGTGCGTGTGTGCACGCGTGTGTGTGCTGCAGAGTCAGCTGTCCTTGCTAGCACGGGTGTGTGTGTGTGTGCTGCAGAGTCAGCTGCCCTTGCTAGCACGGGTGTGCGTGTGTGCACGCGTGTGTGTGCTGCAGAGTCAGCTGTCCTTGCTAGCACGGGTGTGCGTGTGTGTGCTGCAGAGTCAGCTGTCCTTGCTAGCACGGGTGTGTGTGTGTGTGCACGCGTGTGTGTGCTGCAGAGTCAGCTGTCCTTGCTAGCTCGGGGTGTGCGTGTGTGCACGCGTGTGTGTGCTGCAGAGTCAGCTGTCCTTGCTAGCACGGGTGTGCGTGTGTGTGCTGCAGAGTCAGCTGTCCTTGCTAGCACGGGTGTGCGTGTGTGTGCTGCAGAGTCAGCTGTCCTTGCTAGCACGGGTGTGCGTGTGTGTGCTGCAGAGTCAGCTGCCCTTGCTAGCACGGGTGTGCGTGTGTGTACTGCAGAGTCCTTGCATTTTTGTTGTAATGGTTTTTGTTTTCTTGTTTGTTTGTTTTTTAATCCTCACCGGAGGATATTTTTCCATTTATCTTCAGATAGAGTGGGAGGTAGGGAGAGAGGAAGTAGAGAAACATCGATATCAGAGGGACACATCAAGTGGTCACCTCGACCAGGGCCGGGGATTAGGTATATGCCTTTGGCTGGGAATCGAACCTGTGACTCATCAGTCTGAGGGCCGACGGTCTAACCGCTGAAGCCAAACTGGCCAGGGCTGTAATGGTTTTTAATGTTGATAAAATACAACTATGTAAAAGTCTTGACTTGTTGAATGTACGCACTGAAATAATGCATACAGTCCTTGGCTTAAATACGCACCCATAAGTTAAGGAGTCCAATGTTGAGGGGTGGCCTGCACCAGCCATCGGTAACGCAATGAAAAGCGAGGGGAGTGTGTCAGAGGTCGGCCTGGTTTGCTGTACTTCCCTGGGACAGGCCGTCTGAGCTGTGCAGGGGCAGCGCGGGCACAAGAGGAGACTGGCCCCCAGGGTGAAGTGACAGCCCTTTAACTTGAACACTGTCCTGGGAACAGACTCAGTCATGGACAGTACTGGCCAGTGTGCTTGTGACCCCTTCACCTGTATGATTCGGTGCCTGTTCCCGGGGAAACGCTGATGGAGCAGGAGGAGACTGAGAACTAATTCTAGGCCCGGAGCCGGAGGGAGGACCGAATGGTTGAGTTTGGCCTTCAGTGTTCATTACAACTGGCTACAGCAGCTCTCAGGGAAGGCCACACGCACCCCATTTGTGTTTTATTCTCCTTGGACTAGCAACACATCCCGCTGAGCACTCCGATTCGGTCAGGAGTCCCCGGAGGACTCCAGAGAAGGCTGGAAGGGCAGTGCTTGAGGCCGAGGGCCCAGCCCCGCTGCAGTCGCCACAGCCTGTGAGCGACGTGCGCGATCCTCCCACTGCCCCCCAAGGGCCGCTCGGACTGCCAGAAGCAAAACCAAAGGGAAGACCCCACCCCCGTGCCCACCTTGCCGAATGATGGAGGCCGGCTCCCCGCCACGCAGACTGGCCCGCCCGATGGAAGGCTCGCTGATGTCGGTCCAGTAAACCATCTGGTCCACACAGTCGAAGGCCAGTCCGATGATGACTTTATCCTGCAAGTGCAGACCAGGGTGAGAGTGGTCCTCCCACCAGTACCCGAGCACCCCGTTTTATAAAATGTCCTCAAGACTTCTGTCCATATTAGAATGTTTATCACTGAGTTGCAGGAGTTCTTTATATAGTTCAGATAAAAGTCTTCTGTCATCTACATATGCCTGTGTGTGTGTGTGTGTGTGTGTGTGTATATTTTCTCTTGTACACAGCTTTTCTTAATAGTGTTTCTGAAGAGAAAAAGGTTTTACTTTTTATTAAATCTAATTTATTATTTTTTCTCTTATGGCTAATGCTTTTTGCATATCATCTTAAAAAAAAAATCTTTGCCTACCCGAGGGTCATTTAAAAAAGAACATAATAGCCCTGGCCGGTTTGGCTCAGCGGTTGGAGCGTCGACCTGCGGTCCAGAGAGACCCGGGTTCGGTTCCCGCTAAGGGCACGGACCTCGGTTGCAGTTTGTCCCCGGCCCTGGTTGGTCATGCGGGTGGCAACCACTCGATGTGTCCCTTCACATTGATGTTTCTCTCTCTCTCTCCCTCCCGCTCTATCTGAACAAAAAATGGAAAAATGTCCTCGGGTGAGGATAAAAAAATAAATAAATAAAAAAGAACATAATATATAAATATTGAAAAGGAAAATCTCTATTCCAAGGACTATGACTGTTAATGTAGAGAACCCTGGGGAAATCTATAAAACTATTATAACTATTTACTGAGTCCAGCAAGAGTGCAGAATACAAGGTCAATATAAAATTGTATCTACTAGCAAAAAATAAAATTAGAAAACAATAATGCTTACAGTAGCATCAAAAACAAAGTATTTAAGAGTGAATATTCTAAAATGTGCAATATTCTACACTGAATACTATAAAACAACGCAGAATAAAATTAAAGACCCAAATAAATGAAGAGATAAATTAGTTTAATGAACTATGAGATTTAATATTGCTAAAATACCAATTCTCTCTAAATAGAGTTAAAGATTCAAAGCCATCTTTATCAAAATCCCAGCAGGCTTATTTTGGGGAGGGGAGAGGGAAGGAACTGACGAGCTTACTCTAAAATGTATATGAAAATGTGGAGTAGGGATCTGGGGACCACAGAAGTGAAGGGGCAGGATGGTCTCTTGTGGGAGAACCAGGGTTATCAGCAGACATTTTTCCCTCAAGAAGTCAGGTCAAAGAGGACACAGAGACCCTTACCTTGCACCACATACAAGAATTAACTCAAAATGAATCAAAGACCTCAATGTGAGAGCTAAACTATAAAACACTTAGAGGAGCCCTGGCCGGTTTGGCTCAGCGGTTGGAGCGTCGGCCTGCGGTACAGAGACCCGGGTTCGGTTCCCGCTAGGGGCACGTACCTCGGTTGCAGTTTGTCCCCGGCCCTGGTTGGTCGTGCGGGTGGCAGCCACTCGATGTGTCCCTTCGCGTCGATGTTTCTCTCTCTCTCTCTCTCTTCCTCTCTCTCCCTCCCACTCTATCTGAACAAAAAATGGAAAAGTGTCCTCGGGTGAGGATAAAAAAAAAAAAACACTTAGAGGAAAACACAGGACGGAGTCTCATAACATTGAATTTGCCAGTGATTTCCTGGATATGACATCAAAAACAAAAATAGATAAATTGAACTTTATCAAAATTAAAAATATTTGTGCGTGAAAGGACACAATCAACAGAGTGAAAGGCGCTCAGTGAAAGGGAGAAAATATTTGCAAAACATGTACCTGATAAGGGGTTAATATCTATAATATACAAAGAACTCTTACAACTCAATAATGTCAACAGCAAAAAACAACCCAATTACAAATGGGCAGAGGATATAAAGAAACATTTTTCCAAAGAGGACACATGAATGATCTTCAAGTGCCTGAGGTGCTCAACATCACCAATCATTAGAGGAACGCGAATCAAACCCACAGTGATATGTCATTTCACATCGACTGGGACGGCTACTATTAAAAACCAGAAAATTATTAAGTGCTGGCAAGGTGGTAAAGAAATCGGAACCTCTGTGCTCTGCTGGTGGGAATGTGAAATGGTGCAGCTGCTAAGGAAAACAGTACTGCTGTTCCTCAAAAAATTAATAATAGAATTAACATATGATTTAGCAATTCAACATCTGGGTTCTATCCAAAAGAAGGGAAAGCAGGGACTCAAACAAATATTTGTGTACCTGTGTTCATAGCAGCACTATTCCCCACAGCCAAAAGGTGGAAGCAATCCATGCCCAATGACGGATGAATGAATACAATGTGGCATGTCCATATAATGGAATATTAGCCAGCCTTAAAAAAGAGGGAAATTCTGACACAGGCCACAACACAGATGAAACTTGAAGACATTATGCTAAGTGAAGTGAGCCAGTTACAAGAGGACAAATACTGTGTGGTTCCACTTACATAAGATGCTTAGAATAGGCAGATTCATAGAGACAGAAAGCAGAAAGGTGGTTGCTAGGGAGAGGGGGAGGAGGGTTATGGGCATAAAATGTCAGTGTCAGATGATGAAAAAGTTGTGGAAATAGATTGTGATGATGGTTGTACACATTGTGGGTGTACTTTATACCACTGAGCATACACTTAAAAATTATTAATGTGGCCCTGGTTAGCGTGGCTCGGTTGGTTGGCATGTCATCCCATGTACCAGAAGGTTACTGGTTCAATTCCCGGTCAGGGCACAGGCCCAGGTTTGCGGCTCGATCCCAAGTGGGGGCATGCAGAGGCAGCCGATTGATGTTTCGAATTCACATCGATGTTTTTCTCTCTCTCTCCCTTCCTCTTTCTCTAAAAATCAATAAAAAACTTTAAAAATTAAAAAAGTAAAATAAAAACAAATTCAAATGGTAATAAATAAATACAGAAGGCACAGTGGATACACCCTCCCACCTCCACTTGCTGCTTTTCAGAGCCACTCGGACATTTAGCCCTCCCCTTGGTCCTGGGGGAACACGTTCCCAGAGAACCAGCCGCACCCACTCTGAGTGTGTGCTGCAGGCTGCACAGGAAGAAAGGGACCACCCCTCCAGGGTTTCAGTTTCACGAGGCAACGGCACCGCGATCACTCACATTTCGTCCGGCAAACACTGCGTGCCGAGCACCGTTTGCAGCCCACTGTGGGGCAGACACCTCCATGGACTGGACAGACCGTCTACACTCTTGGTGGGAAGGCACACGTCCGACCCAGAGCGCATACCCTGCCTGCTGCGTCAGCAGTGCTGAGAGACAAGCCGGTCACGGAGACAGCGCGGCCGGGACTGCACCCTGCTCGTCTCTCCAGGTCTCCCAGGTGTCACCAGGTGCGACCCGCCAGCACTCACCGGGGCATGCAGCAAAGCCTTGGCTTCCGCCTTCTTCATGGTGCTTCCCTCCAGCGGGAGGCGCTCTATCTTCCCAGTCTGGGCGAAGAGTAAGTGGGTCCCGGGGGGCAGAGGGATCACTTCGGGAGGAACTGAGGGTCCGTGGTGAATCGGGGGAGCCACGGTGCTCAGACCTGGGGGCAGAGGGGCAGTGAGGAAGGCCTGCGTGCAGCAGGAATGCACACCCGCGCACACCCGTGCACACGCCAGTTCACGTCCCCTTTGTGACGCCACAGACCACAGGCGCACAATGACCATTTTACATCTGAAAGCGCGGGAGCAAAAAGGCCTCAAAAAGCATTTGTGAAGAGGATAACGCAGGGCTGAGCGTAACATTAAAGGTCAGATGGGAAAAAGGGCCCAGCCTCCCCCTTACTAGAAACAGAGGTCACCGTGCTGTGCACACCTGCTCTGGATGGACCACACAGCGAGCCTACCAGCGGCACACGGCACCTGAACGCCCTGCCACGGAGCTCACAGGAACTCACGTGCAGAAAAGGCTGCTGAGCTCTGTAGACTGTCAGAGTGAACTTGCCACGTGCCCTGTCCCACAGGGGGCGGTCTCCTACCCACGGCAGCAACATGCAACCTCTGGGTTTGCCAGAGTCACAGCAACCAGGGGCTGATGCTCCTTCGGGTTCATTTTGCCTCCTAACTGCTGGCGGGGACGCAGGGCACGGCTCCCTGGCTCACCTGACAGTGTCCCAGGAGGGGCCAGGCAGCCTGTGCTGCAGGGTAAGGGGCATGGAACAGGTGTCAGGGAACCTGGGTTCCACTGCTACGGCGGTCACAGAACCAGCTTTGCTCTCTGCATCCTAAATGACCTACAACTGTGAAGGAGGCAGGTGTCCCAGGGCGAGAACCATTCCCAGCGCCTGAGAAAGCAAGGCCCAGGGTTTCTACCGTCCCTGCAAGGTCTCAGTGCAGAGACGGGGGCAGGCCAGGCCGCCCGCAGCAGGGAGTTCACCAGGGGGCACACACCGCTATCGGGGGTACACACCACTATCAGCGCCAGTACTGCCGCAGCGGGCCACTGGCATTTGCACAGAGCAGGAGGAGAAGGGGTAAGACGGGCAAGGGGGGAGGGGGGAGGTGGACAGCAGTGGGGTGAATGTTGAGGGAGACAGCCAAGAGGGGTACAGAGGGGAGAAAGGGAGGGAATGGGGTTCCAGCCAGGCGAGCTTTCGGGATTTAGGGCAGCAGAAAGTGCCACCTGTGCCTGTGCAGGCCCCACCAGAGATGTGCACAGGCTCTGGGGGGTCTGGTCACCCTCAGGCCTTTCTGAGGTCCAAGCCCAAGCACCTGCTGCCCCCAACTTACAGGGGGGCCTCATCCCGGGCCTGGTCCTGGTGCCCTCCAGCTCACGGCCGTCGCGGTCCACGCACCAGCAGTAGCCGGTGCTGCCATGGCACTGGGTGGGCACATAGTTCCCGTGCTGGTCGCACTCCGGGACAAACATCCCCAGGGGCAGGGGTCGCTGTGGGCCCGCCACGCCTGCCGCCCCGAGGATGTGCTCTCGCTCCAGCTGGCAGCGCGTCTTCTCCACTTCTGTCAGAGACAAGCAGAGGGGAGACGTCAGCCGCCCGGGGCTCGCCGCCTGATCTGCACCCAGAGCTGCCTGTCGCCACCGGGTGGTTGTACTAAGTTTTTAAAATTTAAATCATCCGTATTATTTAATAGACTTAATAGTCAGGAAGATTGTATTTATATTTTCTTTTTTCCCCTAGGCAATTGTTCTTTTAAAGATAAAATGAGCCATTTTAAGTGATTGATTCAGTGGCTTTTAGTACAGTCACCTAGCGCCAGGTCTCCTCTGGCAAAGGAAGCCCACTCCTGGGCAGTGGCTTCCCCGCCCCCACACCACCACTCTGCTCTGCACACGTCATATAAATGGAATCGCACAACACGTGAGCACTTGTGTCTGGCTGCTCTCACTGAGCAGAATGTTTCCAAGGCTAATTCAGGTTGTAGCCATGTTATCAGTACTTCCTTCCTTTTTGCGGCTGAACAACATTCTATTGTACGGCCCCACCACATTCTGTCTGTCCATTCATGAGTTGATGGACAGCACAGAAATTTGTTTTAAATTTTTCTTAAATTTGTCTGTTTATCATTCAGGCTTCTTGACCCCCCACATTCAGTCACGATCTATGATCTGGGGACCGAAGGCACAGGGTACACTTGCCGACGTGTATTTCCCTTCAATGACACACTCGTGTTTGGCACGAAACCCAGCCGCCTAACTGTGCAACTCAGACCCCAAAGCAGGAAATACTTCTGAATCTGTGGGGAATTGCTGATAACAAGCTATGGCCTGGAATAATCAAGTCCCAAATCCTAGGCAGAACTGTAGCTGGTTTCACACACAGCTAGTCGGTCACCACAGGGGCCAGGCCAGCGGTGCCCAGACACTGGTGGGAACAACACTGATACATTCACCCGAATGGAACCTGTCAGCCGCTGGTCTCTTCCAGCCTCTCTATGTGCTGTTCACCGTGTGATGCCCGCCCCGTCTCTTCCCCAGTTCATCCTTCAAACTCTGCTTCTGCATGTCTTCCCTTCCTCCCAGCTCCTCCACCTGCAGCTCTGTCACAGGGACACTTCCTGCCCGGCCTCCCTGGGCGGGCTCCAGACTCCAAGGGCAGCAAGTGACTGCATCACCTGGACTCGGGAAGCACCTGCTGGGTGGGCGTGGGAATGCCACAGGATGGCTCTCAGGGCGGCCTCGGGCACTGGCAGTCTGCACGGAAGGGAACCGTGATCACAGCTACTGTCCAGCCACCGAGTCTCAACGGAGGGGCCCGGGACACAGCACACCGGGCGGAGAGCAAAGGAGCATCCAAGTGCTGTTCTTGACCTTCACGGGAAGGTCATGGCTATGCAGACCTAGGGCAGAGCTCACCGACTTCTGTCAGGGCAGAAGTCCGGGTTCTCAGCTGTGTGGGACCTACAGTCTGTCACAGCTACTCAGCTTGGCGGTTACGGCACCATAGCAACGAAGTTTAGCACATAAATGAATGAGTGTTGTAATAAAACCTTATGAAAACGAGCACGAGGCCGGCTTGGGCCAGGGGGGACTGCAGCTGTCAGCCTCTGCTCTACGGCATCAGTTACGTTAGGGGGACGTTTCATATAAACATGTTAATTCGTGTACTAACATTTTACTACATTAGTGTTTTAATATACATTAGAATAATAGAATATATAATATGTTTTCACAGAGTTTTTCTCTGAGAAATGTTTTTTAAATCCTCACCCAAGGATATTTTTCCATTTATCTTCAGATAGAGTGGGAGGGAGGGAGATAGAGAGAGAGAAGAAACATCGACGTGATAGAGCCTCATCGACTGGTTGCCTCCTGCACGACCCCAACCATGGCCAGGACCACACCACAACCAAGGTCAGTGCCCTTAACCGGAATTGAACCTGCAACTCTTTGGTCCATGGGCCGATGCTCTAACCGCTGAGCTGAACTGGCCAGGGCCTGAGGTGTGTTTTGATGCCCAGTCCCAGCAGGCCTGGTGTAATCTCGGGCCTGTTGAGGATGCTGGTCAGGCTGTGACCTCAGCAGCAGGGCAGCAATGGCAGCAGGACCTGACCTCACAGTGATGCTGTGAGGCGGAGCACGGCAGACGACACACACAGATGTACCCTTCAGTTCTGCACTCACGTTCCCTGTGACTGGGTCTGCACAGACGGACCATTCAGCTGTGCACTCACGCTCCCCGCGACTGTGTCTGCACAGGCGGACCCTTCAGCTGTGCACTCATGCTCCCCGCGACTGTGTCTGCACAGGCGGACCCTTCAGCTGTGCACTCACGCTCCCCGCGACTGTGTCTGCACAGGCGGACCCTTCAGCTCTGCACTCACGCTCCCCGCGACTGTGTCTGCACAGGCGGACCCTTCAGCTGTGCACTCACGCTCCCCGCGACTGTGTCTGCACAGGCGGACCCTTCAGCTCTGCACTCACACTCCCCGCGACTGTGTCTGCACAGGCGGACCCTTCAGCTGTGCACTCATGCTCCCCGCGACTGTGTCTGCACAGGCGGACCCTTCAGCTGTGCACTCACGCTCCCCGCGACTGTGTCTGCACAGGCGGACCCTTCAGCTCTGCACTCACGCTCCCCGCGACTGTGTCTGCACAGGCGGACCCTTCAGCTGTGCACTCACGCTCCCCGCGACTGTGTCTGCACAGGCGGACCCTTCAGCTGTGCACTCATGCTCCCCGCGACTGTGTCTGCACAGGCGGACCCTTCAGCTCTGCGCTCACGCTCCCTGCGACTGTGTCTGCACAGGCGGACCCTTCAGCTCTGCGCTCACGCTCCCCGCGACTGTGTCTGCACAGGCGGACCCTTCAGCTCTGCGCTCACGCTCCCCGCGACTGTGTCTGCACAGGCGGACCCTTCAGCTCTGCACTCACGCTCCCCGCAACTGTGTCTGCACAGGCGGACCTTTCAGCTCTGCACTCACGCTCCCTGCGACTGTGTCTGCACAGGCGGACCCTTCAGCTCTGCGCTCACGCTCCCTGCGACTGTGTCTGCACAGGCGGACCCTTCAGCTCTGCACTCACGCTCCCTGCGACTGTGTCTGCACAGGCGGACCCTTCAGCTCTGCACTCACGCTCCCTGTGAGTAGCTCCACAGGCCTTCAGTGACAGTCAGTACACATGCTACCAATAGAAATTTAAAGTATTTTATGTTTGTGTTGCCAATTCTCACGTCCGCCTGCTGAACATGACTGCCCCTTGACAAGAGCAGCGAGCCTGCCAGAGAAAGTGCACCTGTCAAGGGAACGCTGGGTATGCTTCCTCTCTTGTCCCAAAGGCTAATGTTAAAATAACAAAACATATTTGATGTAGGAAGAGTCAAACAAAGCTAGAAATAAGCCATCTGGTGAAGAACAAAAATGTTTTGTTTTGTTCACTCTTGGACACAGAATTTGTTTACTTCCTCAATATCTCACATTTGTACAGGGTTTTAGTTTCCAAATAACCTGTCTCCATTCATGTTTCACGTAATTCTCACTATAACCCTATGCAACAGGCAACCATGCTTTTTACACCAAGCGAGGGAACGGAAGCTCCGACGGCTGAAGGGGCCAGAGCACAGCTGAGTGGCTCAGCTCAGGCTAAGAACAGGGTCTTTGGGTTCTCGGCCCAGCCCCCCACCTCTCTGCACCCACATGCCCAGTGCCCAGGATGGCTCACACACTGAAGACATTATCAACGGCGATATACGCACGTTAGCGCAACACATTCGCCAACGCTGTCTGGCCCACAGGCTCCCTTCCCTCCCGTCCGTTCACTCGCTGCCTCTCCTGTAGGAGGCTTGTCTGAGCACCGTCCCCCAAACCTTTGAGGGGGTAGGGCTGCTCCACCGTACGTGGCTGACAATTTTGTGTTAACATGGTGTTTGGCCAACATTCAAAATCTCAAGTGGTCTGCAATTGACAGTGGAACTTCTAAGTGCTGTGACTTGAATTTATAAAAAGAAAGGCAAAACCTCCACTGTGATTCTGGAAATTCGAGTGTTTTGGAAGCTGTGACATCGTTGGTTTCCCTGGGATGGGCTCTCAGCCTGGCAGCAGGCAGTGGGGGCAGCTCCAGTGGGGCTCAGGCCCCAGGGAAGTTTACGGGCCCGGTGGACGGGGGGCAGGGGACGGGGCAACAGAGAAGCATTTCCTGGCCATGTTTCTGGTTGGTATTTCGATGACCAGGCAAGCTTCTTCTGACTCATCTAGTTTGAGCTGCTGGGGGAAAAGCATTCAAGACCTAGTACTTACCTGAGAACAGCAGGAAGTCTGGGGTGACTTCTCTCAAGGTTGGGGACAGACAGAAGGAGAGGAAAATGAAACCAAGGGAGACATCAGAAAAAAATACATTTTCAATCTCTTGATTTGTTTCCCATTTCCTTGCCTTATTAAACGTCCTTCTCTGTGTTAACTGAAACACACACTTGCAGCGCCTGCTCCACGCCTGGTGGAGGAACTTGGGAGGCAGCGTTGGTTCGGCTCCTCTGGCACAGCCGGCCGTGGCACCCGCTCCCAGCGGCCGCGGCTCCTGGTCGCTCTGCACACGCACCGCAGTCCGGCTCACACGGCCCGAACGAGGCCTACAGCGCTGCCGTGGGTTCAGACTGCTGGCTCGTGGGCTCGTCGGCTCCAGAGGGACGCTGACTAGCCCAAGATTGCCAAATTCCCCAGAGTGAGAATTTACCAGTAAAGGAGACAATGTCAGTCTGATGGGGTCTTTATCTTTGCATTTCTAGGTGTTTACTAAAAACACCAGCACCACTACTAAGGATAATGATGATGATGAAGACACCTCTGCTTAGGAACTCTCCTCCAGTTCCTCCCTGACACTTATGCCCAGTCCCGATGGGACAGAGGGGAAGGAGGATGCCCGAGCGGGGGAGTGAACCAGCACCTAGAACAGGGAAACCGCAGGCGAAGGCGGACAGTCTCCTGGGCCCCTCGCGGTGCCGGTCCCCTAGGCTGCAAAAACCAGGCCATTCAGGACATTTCTCAGATCAGGAGCCCATGGCCCCTTG